CATAATGAATCTTCTGCGAAAACATGGAACCATACACCGCCATATGCTATGTCTTTTGTGCATCCCCACTTGAAGTATTCGTAAGAAAACAAAAAAAAAAAAACGAGAGAGCCACGGGCATCTTCATCCTGACCCATAACTGCCGACATGGGGACCTGAACGCCAATCTTCAGTCTTCAGCATATATTGGTGGTCGGCTGGCGATAGAACATTTAATTTGTGAATTCTGCGAGATTTCGCGGGGCTGGTCGTTAGTAGGCGACTAACCCTTCTTGCGAACTCACCCACTACTGTGTGGGACTTGCAGAAGGAAGCGGGAAGGACAGCTTTCATACCCCGCCTAAAACAAAAGTTGGAATTATCCCTATTTTGTGCCTCATATAATAAAACTTCTGGGGGAAGGGCCTGCGGAAATTGGAATTTCGGCAGCCCTTACCCAAAAGAAAAGCTTGCGCCGTGGGCGCGGCTGGTTTGCGAGCTTGCGTGTTGAGTTTAACATTTTTGCCGAGTTGGGGCCCCTAAGAAATTATGAAACCCCTACTTTTTTTTTTTTTTTTTTTGGACCTAATTTTTCAAGTGCGCTGCGCTTTGGTGCGCTGTGCGGTGCGCTGCGCGTGGTGTGCAAATCCGCGCACCGAGGTGCGCCGCAACTATGATAAAAACCACTCTACACACCCACTCAGGCATATGTGCAATGACTTGCTGATTTCTGCTGCCGAGATCTGACTGCGAGGTTGTATAGTCGTGTCCTAGGGCCAGATTCGTAATTTTGTTTGTGTCAGGGACTAACCGTGAGTTCAGTCCGAGGGAAATCCATGAGGGACAGATCTGTAAATCTGGGAAAATTATACTCCCAGTATAGGGTCCAGGCCGAACAGGCCAAACTGAAACAGTACCGGTCCCAGTAGGTCTAGCTCTAGAGTAGGCTAGTCTATTAATAGGACTGAGCTGGTAGTTCGGGGACTTTTGGCTTTTCATTTTCGTGACGCAGCGTTCGGAGCCAAACAAGTTTGGTGGAGGCGATTGTATGCAGGCGGTACCCTGAGACCCTCGTCGTGGACGGCAGCCATAGCCAGCCTACTGGAGCTTGCCATAGCTGGGGCACCCTCTGAGCATCTACCTCTGAGGGTATCTGCGATTGACTGGGCTATTGAGAGGCTCTTCACTGAGCGTTTGTGGGTGGACCACTGTCGCCGCTCTCTCTTTGGGAGTTTCAGGCTTCATCAGTGGTGTGGCAGCCATAGCTGCCAGCTTCTTCGTCCGAGTTGTTCAGCGGCACTGAAGACTCCATTGCAGCTCTTGTTCCTCATCTGGGCGGTTGGCGCTGGCCTATTGGAGGCCATCTTAGTGTTGCGCTACTAACTGGGTGTAGTGTAGAGAGTGGAGTGTGGAGTTCTGAGGGTGGCGAGATACTGAAACGAACTCTGTAACGATAATTGGTTTGAGTTGGCTCATCATCAGTGTGAATCCTATTGTTATCCTCGCAGGTGTCTTCTTGTGATTGGTTGTTGGGAGTATTGTCAGAGAGTGAGAAACACTGTGTGTCTTCTCCCCATCTGTGCATGGCTGTATTTCGCTGCCTACTTAGATCTGTGTACAGGTTGGACTTTGTCTCCTCTCCCCTTCGTCTTATGCAAGTATAGGCGTGTATGAGATTGTTTGTGTGTGAGTGGCGGTGAAAATCGTCAGACAACCAAGTTCATAACAGTTAGTATCGAAGCTGGGTAGGATTAGGGACACTGAAGGTTGAGCGCAACAGGGGCGTCTTCTTCTTCTGAAGATCTTCTTAAGGGAGTTCCATGGGGGTTCATCTTCTTCAGGGCTGAAGAAGTGGAGAAGAAGATTTGCAGATGACAAATTCAAGTGTACAGTGTCTGGATTGACCAAGCGCACTGTCCCTGCCAGAGCGCTTGTCAGAAGTGGCGAGTACAGGGCTACTTCGGCAAAGTCAACCCTGAGTGCAGATGAGCGATTTGCCTCAGAGTGGCGAATTACCCCTGAACACTGAGGATAACTGGGTGGCGACATCATCCCTGAGGAGCGATGAGCTAGATTGACTACTAGAGTCAATCTCATGCAGAGTTGACCCCAATTGGGGCTAATAATAGCATCAGCGGCTAACTGGTCAGTCGCGAGATATCTTCTGTTGATTGTTAGATCGCCACTAGACTAGATTCAATGAATCTAGTAAGTGGGATTGGAACGCCTCAGTATCCTGAGCAAGATCAACAAGTTTGAGGAGATTCTGTACGTGGAGATCAGAGGAGGAATTTCTGGAAGCAACTGGCGAGATGAGGGTTTCAGTCTGCCATAGTTGGATCTTCACCATCTTGTGAAGACTACACTGAAAGTGAGTACGTTCCACACAAATCTCTGTATAGTGAAGTGTTTAGAGTCAGTATAGTCAGAATTGATGGTCTATCTGTCTGCCAGAGTCCAAAATTAGTTTTGTCAGACTGCATGACAACCATAGCCATCTTCTTCCTATCTTCACTTTCTCATATCTCCCCCTCTGCTGACTCTCTCTGTCTCAAATCTGTTCTGGGACCACATGACAGTATTGCGCTGAATCGTGTATGCTCAAAATGCTAGGCTACCAGCCGGGCCGCCCGGGTCCCGGGTGGCCAGCCCGTGCAAGAAGGTCCAAGCGTTAAAAAAAAAAAAAAAAAAAAAA